TTTACTGGTAACCTAAAGAAGTTGGTTTCGTTTCGTTCAATTTAATTTGAATTCTGTTACATTCAATGTAAGTTGGATTAGATTATATTCAGATTGAGTTGAGTTATCTTGTATTCAATTTTAGTGGCGTTATTTTTATATTCACTTGAAGAAGTTGCTTTAAGTTATGTTCAATTTAAGTTGAGTTATCATATATTCAATTAAAGTTGCATTAGGTTATGTCCAATTTAAGTTGAGCTACTATATATTCAGTTAAAGTTGCGTTAGGTTATGTCCAATTTAAGTTGAGCTACTATATATTCAACTGAAGTTGTGTTAGGTTATGTCCAATTTAAGTTGAGCTACTATATATTCAACTGAAGTTGTGTTAGGTTATGTTCAATTTAAATTCAGTCAGGTTATATTCATTTGAAGTTGCGTTAGGTTATGTTTAATTTAAGCTGAGCTACTATATATTCAACTGAGGTTGTGTTAGGTTATGTTCAATTTAAGTTGAGTCAGGTTATATTCAATTTAAGTTTGGTTATATTATGTTCAATTTTAAGTTAAGTTAGTTCATGTTCAGTTTAAAGTCACATTAGGTTATGTTCATTTTAAGTTGAGTCAGGTTATATTCAATTTAAGTTAGGTTATGTTATGTTCAATTTTAAGTTAAGTTAATTCATGTTCAATTTAAAGTCGGTTTGGTCAAATTCTTTTGAATATATGTTAAATTAAGATACATTATATCAAACTTAAGTTAGTTGACATTATAGTAACTGCACGTTGAGTCATGTTACCGAAAGTGTAAGATGATGGAAACTCGAGTGATATTCATGATCGATCAACAGCGTGTTAACATGTACAGTACATCTACCGAGTCTATTATTAGAAGTGAAGAGAAATTACCGAACACGAGGTAACGCTTGGTTTGCGACAAACAGGAGCAACGACATTAATTTTCGATATTACCCTCGTAAATATTCGTGAAACACACTATCCTGGCAGTGTTTCGCCAGAGATTGAAACGCTTTTTCCTGCATTTCCCCGACGCGAACGGTGAACTCCACTATCGTGCAGAAAAGATCGCAATTTTTTATTGAATCAGCTCACCGACGATGTATCGCGTTCCGAATCTTGTACAGTCTACGGCAAATCTGATTTTCCTTGGGAAAATATGGTAATCAATGGCCCGTAACTCTATCAGTCATCGAACTTTAGTTGATTAGTCAACTTTACAACTTTGCAAGTTTAAATTTATAAAATTGCAAATTTGTAGTTTTATAAATTTAGGAATTTAAAGACTTGCAAATTTGTAAGTTTAGGTATTAAAAAATCTTGAAATATATAAATTTGAAAATGTACAAAATTTTGAAGGTTGGAAATTTGTCAGTATAGATAATTTGAAGAGTTGGAAATTTGGAATGTTCCAAGTTTATCTGTTTTTATCGAAAAGATTACGTTGCAGCCGAGTGTACGGTGATACATCGAGAAGCTCCGTGACGGGAGAGCGTCCATAAATCCTCGACGACCGCCATTTCTCTCGATGGAAATACGAATGATTTGAAAACTGTTCTTATATCAAATGACATGTATGTATTTGCGTCCGTGATATATTTTCGTGTTTGACAGAACGTTAGCCTATTAAGAGACAGATTTTCATTCGTAAATGTGTTTAACTCCTTTATAAATCACTCCTGAAGTCATATGAATTTAGTAATTAGAGAATTCGAAGATCCGAAAATAAAAGAGGTTTGACTTCTATAATTTAAAAAATTTATTACTTCAATAATTTGCTCACTAGGTTCAAAAATTTTAAATAATAAAAATCTAAAATTCGCAAATCTTCTGCAAACAATACAATCTAGTGTTGAGTTTAAACGAAGAATCTTCTTACGTAGAAAAAGAATGAGGTAAATTCTGTTAGTTCCACTTCCAAGAAGACCTCGCTTTCGTCGGTTGATTCGTCAACAAAGGGGATGCGGTTAAATAATGGTGCATATAGGAGAATCGAGGAAAAAAGAGACTCTTTTTCGAGTATACCTACACGTCATCGTTTCGGTCAAATATTTACCCTTCGCTGGTGACTCGACCACGATACAAGAACGGGGCTGTAAACTCGATACGAGCCAACCGCATATTTAACGTTTTCGTCCTACAACTTCCACGTTTCTTCGTTTCTCTTAAATGTTCTTGTTACGCGTCTCATGGGTTTTGCCCCCGACAATCTCGTTCTTTTTCTTTTCTTCCGTGTTTTCGTTTCATTTTCACTCTCGTGGGAGACTCCTTTCTTTGTAGAACAGAATTACTTGTCCCGAACGTTTCCTCATCTTCTCGATCGATGCTACTTATTTGCCCAGGGCATATGTGAACTTTCGTTCATTTTTTATTTTTCTGTAACTGTACATTTCAGCTAGGTAGTTAATTACTTAAATAATTTTACTTCTGATACAGAACAAGGTTTTACTCGATTTTTATATTTTAAATATTTTGTACAGACATATGTTTAATATTATAATTCATTCTGTTATACTTTTTAAGTTATATATTATATAATTGTATATTAATACCTTAAATTAATTATTTTTTAATATATGTAACGTATTCATAGACGAATATTAAAATATATTTGTTAATTTGATTAGTGTTTGTTTTTTGAATAAACGCCATAGCTTGTACTTAGCGCCTTATCACGTGACCGCAGCTCTTCGCCTGATTGGTCGGACGCAGACATGCGCAGTAACATTGTCTACACCGCGAATCTATTCAAATTAGCTAAATTACATAACTTAAAATATACATACACTTCAATCAATATTACATACTTGTTAAAATAAGACATTCTATTTATTTTACCCCATAATTATTTAGTTATTGTAAAATTCATTTGACAACATAAATATGTATTATATAACTTATTCAATTATATATTTTATTCAATAACTATTATAAAGTATATATTATTTACTTTATTTAATAACATAATTATCAAATACTAATTCTTTGTCTAAAACTACCAATAATTTAACTTAACTACAAAACTAGCAAAATACAAAAACAAATATGCGACATCATTCGCTTGGTAATGGTAAATGTACACGAAAGTTTGTATCAATTTTGTACATCTCCGAGTGTCGGATTGAAAGGGGAGGAATTGCACCCTTCACGACGAGGGAAAGTTGGACTGAAAAAGAAAAGGAAAAGAATCCTGTGGAAGGGAAGCTGTGTGTGGCACGAGAGCGAACGACCACCAACGAGTTTCTCTCCCTCGTTCGTGTTCTCGTTTACCAGCGTGTTTTCTTTGGGCAACGTCAACGCCTTCGTGAAGTTCCTTTCTTTTTTATCCGCGTTCGCTGTTTTCTTTCTACTGGACCCGCTACCTTGCGTACACCAACCCCTCTTCACTCTCGTTTTCGAGCGGAAGCGCGCGTTTTTGGCACGCGAGCCGCTCCTACACGCTCGGCGAAGCTGCAGAAATGATCTTTTGAAGAACGCATTGTTGCATCCCTGCTGATCTTACTTCGTCTTCCAACTGACTTATAACTCATTCCTCACTAAATAAAAATGAGAACTTCATTATTTCTGTTCGTTTATTTTATATATGTTCATATGTAGCTTTTTTGTTTGTAATATTTAACATACATATGTGTATGTATCTTTACACAATGTGTATATGTACATAACGTTTTTATTAAAACAACATGTATTTTAATAACATTTATTAAATATGATGTTTACATACTTTGTGCATATGTACATGACACATAATAATGGTGCAATGTACATAAACTGATCAATAAGTTATCTATCAGCTACAATTAGTAATTGATAAAAAATATTACAAAACAACGAACTATTAAAATAATTGTCATACGTTGTACAGTTTGTTTCATTTTTAAAAAAGAAGATATACATGTGAACTCTCCCATTGAAAATAATTTCAGAATTGATCAGCCAAATACAAATTCGTCTCGCCAATAAAATAACAATAGGTGTGAAGGAAGAAAATAATAACGCCTTCCAAGAAAAATCCGTATGATACACAGCAAATCTGCATATATGGTAAACCGATCTATTAACACGTACGTATTATTCGTGGAGGCGATGTTGTCGAGATTACTCAGCAAATACAATGAGTAATTAAGTGGTGTAATTACTAGATTTCAATCTGTGTTTCCGTTTCGAGTCAACCGCGTGAAATTTCATCGCCTGGTTGCGCTACGCGTGGCTTGCGATTTGATTTAGGCTGCACGTCCAAAAACTATAAACACCAGTATGGCGTTTTGAAAGCAAACAGTTCTTGGAAAGAGAGGTTCGTTGCAATCGTGGAACAATAACACACACACGGTCAATGGCCGTGACCGGAGAATAATCTCATATGTTCATTCGGTGCTTGAAATAATCTTTATTCGGTTTTATGCAATTGCATTTTTAGTTTATTTAAATTGTCTGATTGTGTCGTAATTTTGTATAATTGTACTATAATTTTATGCAATTATATTTTGATTCAATTTAATTGTAGTAAAATTTTTCGTAACAGATATAATTTAATTATAATTCAATGAAATTGTGTGTAATTAAAATTGTAATTAAAAGTGTAATGCATTGTGATTAAAATTATAATTAATTGTAACTAAGAATATAATTGAGAGTATAATTTAGAGTACAATTAATCGTAATGAAACATATAATTTAAAGTACATAAATTAATAATTAAAATCATATATAGTAATAATATAATGATTTTATAATTAAAAGTAAATCTTCATGAATCGCAAAAAAGTAATAACTTCGCATAATAATTATTTTAAAAAATTGTGCCCCAAAGCACCTATCTAAGAGACACGGAAGCACGAAATAAAAGAAGTAGTCGACCTCGATAAAACAAATAGAGGTAGAGAAAAATAGTGGTAGAGATGTTATAGTTTCAATTTGTTGGAAAACGTACGAGAGGAACGATTTCGAATCAGGATAACGACTCTATTGGGAGATTGCTCTCTAAATTGGTCTCTTTGTTCCAGATTGCCGTCTCCATACAATAAGCAATCGGCTGTCGGGGGTGCAGGTGGCGGTCCTGGGGGTGGAACGAGTATACCCTTACCTGCCACCGTAGCAGCCACCAGAAGGTGCCCTCCGGATAAAGTTAGACCTGCTCCAACACCAACGCATCAATCACAACTTGGTAAGTTTTCCACATAATTTTCCCTCCATTTAACGTCTGAGAAAGTATCGATCAGCTGCAGTTGCGAGGAAATGAACGAAGGGGTATCAATCCTCGAATATTTCCGTGAAAATATCATTCAATTATGAGAAACATTTTTTTTTTGGAAAAATAATTATTCTTTTTGAGTGGAGTATTGAATACAATTAAATAGGAGATTGCAAGTTGATAATTTTTTTGGGGCAGTTTGTGTAATTATATATTGACGTGTTTGGGCAATTGTCATACTTTGTAAGTATCACAAATTTGTGATACTTAATTTTAATATTTAATTTAAATTTTATTTGGAATATTATTTTTAGAGTTCCTTCAAACCACTTGTTTTTTTAGACAAAAATAGTGAACAATATTATTAAATACTAATAATAATGATTAATATTAATAATAGCGATGTATGTGTATCATAATAATGTTCATTATCAATATTCAATAATAATGTTAGTCTAAATTAATTTCTCCTTCAATTTGTTTCACAACTCTTCGAGTTAATTGTAATTCATAATAGATCTCAAAGTTCACAGAGAATGCAAGTTACTATAGATATATATTATAGACAAAAAGTATTTTTAAAAATTCAAATACGAGGGGTTGACAGAGAAACCGTGTCTAGTCTGAGCTCCTCGATTTTTCGAATAACTAAAAATATCAGCCAGAAACGTGTACATTTATATTTAAATGTGCAGTTGTACAATTTTAAAGAAGTCGAAAATGGAAGTGGACAGAATATCTTTCGCGCTTTCTAAAACATGAAAGAAACGTATTCTGTTGAAATTACATACCTCGAAAAGTTGAATAAAATGTAAGATAATAATTGTATTAAAACTAGTATTAAATTCACATGCAAGGTAAATGTAATGAAAGAAAATGTGAAAAGAGAAAAAGTGAAGCCATGAGTGTAGATAGGAAAGGGTTGAAAAAGAGGTACTCACCCCATGAAAAAAAAAATGTGCTTTGTTCCATTCTACGAGGAAAATTGCATTTTGCTCTTTTGTCAAAGGAAAACGGATTATATTTTATATTGAGTAGAATTACCTCATATTTTATGTGAAAAGTCGGAAATTAAATTATCTTGAATTATAATTGTATTAGTTATTTTAAAATTTCACAAATTTTTTAATTTCTCAAGTTTTCAAATTTTAGAAATTTTCAAATTTTTCAAGTTTTCAAATTTTAGAAATTTTCAAATTTCTCAGGTTTTCAAATTTATTAAGTTTTCAAATTTCTCAGGTTTTCAAATTTCTCAGGTTTTCAAATTTATTACGTTTTCTAATTTCTCAAGTTTTCAAATTTTTCTCATAATTCTCAAATTTCCCAATTTTGGCAAATTTTTGAATTTCTCAAATTTTCCAAATTTTTCAAGTTTTCTACATTTCCCGAATTTCCCAAAATTCTCAAATTTTCAGAATTAAAAATTCTTCATTACTCTACCTGAGAAAAATGATTTCTTTCCACAAAGGAGAAAATTTTATCATAATTATGTTAACTATTATAATTTCTCATTTTAAACAAATTTTCTACATAAAAACAAATCCAAAATAAAGTTACAATCACACTATTAATAATTTGTCTACAAAAATAAATGCCAAATCTCAAATTATTTAAAATAATAGAATAAAATTGTAACACAAATTTAACACCCAAACTGATAACGTAATAACTTCCCCGAATACAAGATAAAAATGATGGCAAGAGTATCGAACACAATGAGAAAAATAACTAGGGTGGAAAGTGAAAAGCCAAGAAAAGCGTGCAGGGGGAATAAGGGGCGTGGAAAGAAATTCGATTATTTTTTTTCCAGTTTCTCCCCCTTTCCTTTGCACGAACTGCTTTTAATGGAAAGTCATTAGCGAGTGGGTAGTCTGAACGGCAACCACGAAGTAATATTCAGCCATGATCTTTTAGTGCCTGCAGTCTATCTGTTTCTGACATTTGCTTTTATTCCCTCCACGCAAGCGTCAGTTTCCCCTCTGCAATGTTTCACGCTTCTTCCTTTGTGATTTCTCTCCTGATCGATTTTACCACTATTTCTTTTTTTCTACTTTGTGTCTGTTAATTTTTTCTCTTGGAAAAGATGGCATTTTGATTCTGTTGTATTTTGATACTCGAGAGGCATTAACCTTAAATTAACCTAATTGATGAAGATTCAATCGATACTTTTGGTGAAGTTAAACTTTACATTTAATATTTGATTATTTACATTTAATCTTTAATATATTTACATTTTATTGTTTAGGTTTTTTAACTTTGACAGATTTTTATTCTTTTAAGAGTAATAATGAGAGGCAAATGTTTCTGTTTACTTGGAGAACAGTCGCCATTTTGTGACGTTGAGGCGCAAGGGTATAATTGCGAGAGACGAGAAATATTTTCAGATATATTTGATTTCGTCTGCGTTGGAAATTCAAGAGTTTCGTGCAATATTATTTTTGCATCTGTTTGCAATATTTTTGTAGTCACGTATTAATATTAAAAATGTCTGACATTTTAAAGTCTTAAAATCGTGTTAATGTCTGGTAATTTTAAATAGGGTGAAACATAAAATGAACTCATCAAAATAACTAAAATAACACATAAAATATTAAATACATATATTAAAGTAAATATTAAATATATTAAAATATAGAACAAACTAAAATATTAAACAGAAAATGAATAAACAGAATAATCAGTAAAATATTGAATATATTAAAACAAATAGAAATGCAAACTACTAAATATATTAAAATAACTAGAGCAAAATATAAATTACCAAATATATTAAAGTAAATAGAATAAAACATGAGTTGCTAAAAAATAAAAATAGTGTACCAATATGAAAGAGCACTCAATCATTAAAAAAATAATCCCATAATTATTATAAATTTCCATTATATTAACAAAGAAGAAAATTTCAATTTTAAAAGACCATCTAACTAAAGTATATATCCTACAGAATTTGTCGATTATGTTAATACTCAAACACGTCTGCGTCTTAAAAGCAGTACGTACAACTTGGATGTTCTTGTTGTGAGACTCGCTCTTTAAGACACAAAGCTCCGACGAAGATGGCAGATTCTCTACCGCGTTAAGAACACCCCATTAGCCATTAGTCCTGTGAATGGCTTTTAGCAACCCTTTGCGCATTTCTGGTTGCCGCGAGAGATCTGGACCACCATGGAAACTAGCCTCCATGTTCCATGGGGTTACGACGACCCTGTGTCCCTTTTAAATATATAGTATGACTTCTCTTCTACGAGCATCGACCTTTCTCTCCTTGCTCCTTCGTGGCTTTACGCTTCTTGCGCGCATGCTTCAGACATTGTTTCTTTGTTTTAATAATTTCCAGTCATTTAAAGTTTCTTCCTTTGTTGTAATCATTTTTTAAAATAATAAAATCCCTAAGTTCCAGAATTCCCAAGTTTCAAAATTTCCTAGTTCCAAAATTTCCTAGTTCCAAAATTCCCTAGTTCCAAAATTCCTAAGTTCCAAAATTCCCAAGTTCCAAAATCCCCAAGTTCCAAAATTTCCTAGTTCCAAAATTCCCAAGTTCCAAAATTCCCAAGTTCCAAAATTCCCAAGTTCCAAAATCCCCAAGTTCCAAAATTTCCTAGTTCCAAAATTCTCAAGTTTCAAAATCTCCAAGTTCCAAAATCCCTAAGTTTCAAAATTTCCTAGTTCCAAAATTCTCTAGTTTCGAAATTCCCAAGTTCCAAAATCCCCAAGTTCCAAAATTTCCTAGTTCCAAAATTCCCACGTTCCAAAAACCCCAAATTCCAAAATTCAAAAATCCCAATCTTTTCAAATCCCAATCTTCTTAAATCCCAAGCTTCTTAAATCCCAAGCTTCTCAAATCCCAAAATTCCAAAATTCCTAAATCCCAAAATTCTCTGATCCCAAATTTCCCAAACCCCAAAACTCTTAACCCTAAAATACCCAAAATTCATACCTTCCCAAAATCCCCAAATTTCCAAATCCCCAACTCCCCAAATTCCCAAACGTCAAAAACTCCATATATGAATCTCTCCAGCAAGATATCTCTATTCCGAACTCTTACCATGAATAATTCAAAATCCTCCCGAGAATAACTTACCCGAATTAAATTTTTGACCAGTGTTCGTCTTCGTTTCTAATATTCATAATCCTCTACCATACGAAAATCTATCTAGTGACTAGATTCTAGCCACGTATAGATCTCATCCGAATTTGATCGAGGGAGCCGGTGTTTTGAATCTCCGCATACTCGTCGCGAAACGCCGATAACGCGGCTCTCGAGCGCGCACGAGCACACGTCGACCATAATTACCTACATACATCCATGGTGGTCGAGGGGGTAGCTATGAGATGGGGTGGCACCCCATAGTTTATACTTTACTCTCGACTCCCACGTTTCCAGGGCAGCCACGGCCAGATGTGCACACCGATTTACAGCGGTTCCCAATCGATACTCCGATCACTCGTCCCTCAAACGAAAGTGAAACAGGACCGGTTCGATTCCCGTTACTGAAACGTATCACCCCGTAAAACTACTATCCTGAATTTTGTTGCTTCTACTTTCTTCTTCGTTTAGTGGCTTTTTGTTTTGTTCGGAATTCGATGGATTCTTCTTTATTCGGTATTCGCTGGATTCTTCTTTGTTTGGAATTTAGTTGACTCTGTTGTTTGGAATTTAGTTGACTCTGCTGTTTGGAATTTAGTTGATTCTGCTTTGTTCTGAATTTGGTGACTAGTTTACTTTCACTTTGCATTGTAGATTTGTTCTAGTCATTTTATTGAACCTTGACTGCTGTGGTTACAAGTTGTGCAGGGGTTTGATACATTGTTGTAATGCAAATGATGTGTTGACATATGATGATGCATATGTGATGGTGTTTTGTAATTTCTTTTTCTGCGTTCAGCAAATGTCACATATGATGTTTGACAGTTGTTAGATATAATTCGTTGCAATTTTATAAGAATTACTTCATCGTTTTAAGTAACTCTGA